ATATACTTAATTTATTTTAACAAGAACCACTCCCCGTACTTTCTTAATACTCTGCATCAGTGCGTATACTGCGGGCACGACGGGCCCACCGCACGGTAACCGAACACCGGCGTACGTCACACGAAGGTACCTCACAGCACTGCCTCGGACAGCTGATCTAAGGAGTTCGATTCCTAAGATTAAAAAACTGTTCTTGAGTTTTTTTTTTCAAGTTTATTAACCTACTAGGTTTTAATTCCAATTCCATAGACAACTAGTAAATCATCAAAGTCAAAATCATTTATAATATTCCAATGAAACCATAAATATGTAGATACTTTTGAAACGTCAAAATAGAATAGTAGTCTGTCAGTCTGTTCGTCAGTGAAGCTAGGTGCTCATTCCAAATTGGGTAGTTTTCTAGGTCAAAAATAAATTAATTCAACTTTTTCGTCAAATAGCTTATTTTTTCTTAATAAATGAGCTATTTGACATCATAATTTCAACAAAATTTCATAAAAAAGTATCGTTTCTGACATTTGGATAAAAAACTGGAAACTACCGTATTGTAGATTCGAATGGAGAAGAACGAGCAAGAAACTCCATATAATGTCATCTTGACAGATCACCTTTCTGTCAGGGGAAAATCATCAAATAACTTGCCCATGAATGAGCCCAACCCCGCTGACCGTCGACCCTGTTGAGCCCCATTTGTGGTAGTCTGGCTTTTTTTTTATGTAGATAATAGATCGGCAAACGAGCAGACGGATTACCTGATGTTAAGCTGTCAGCGCCGCCCATGGACACCCGCAACGGAGGAATTACGAGTGCGTTGCCGACCTTTTAGGGATTAGGGATTTGGAGATTTAGGGACTGGGGAGGAATTGGGGAAGGGGAAAGATTGGGCCTCCGGTAACCTCACTCACACGGCGAAACACAACGCTGTGGTTGCATCACGCCGGTTTTCTGTGAGGCCGTGGTATCGCTCCGGCCGAGCCGACCCATTCGTGCCGAAGCATGGCTCTCCCACACTTAAAACGCTACGGCTTATTGAGAACGCTACGTGTCGTGCACTCGGGTCTGTTTTGTTCCTGGTCGGGCAGAGCCGCGCTTATTTATGGTGGCTGGACATCGTCGCTCGAAGTTTCCATAGCTACTAGACATGGAAACAAACAATGCATTGCAGTCAATGCACTCAGCGCTCCTGGCACAATGAGGTACAGAAATTGCATTAGGTAAACCGAATTATGTAAAACACGTAATTTTGTTACCTACATTAGCATTTTTATTAAGTTGTATTTGAACTGTCAGTCGCAGGGAGCTAATGGGTGCAGGTGGTGAGTTTTTATTCGACATGGAGGACTAAGGGAAAGGGCTTTGTTAAGCAGTGGATGTCTTCCATCTGATGATTATGATGATGATGATGATATTTCAACAAGCTTTAAACAATAACGAATTAGTTTTTACTGTAGCTTTGGCCATGTTAATAACACAGTATTCTTTGTTACTTCCAACGATGTGATTACAATTTCGAAAAGATTAATTTGAAAAGACTACAACTTAAAGTGTGGGAGAGCCAAGCTTCGTTACGAATGGGTCGGCTCTGAAGCCACGGCCTCACAGAAAACCGGTGTGAAACAACCACAGCGTTGTGTTTCACCGTGTGAGTGAGGTTATCCTCCCCCTTCCCTATCCATGCCCAATCCTTATATCGGCAACCCTTATCCCCAAAAGGCCGGCAACGCACTCGTAACTCCTTTGGTGTTGCGGGTGTCCATAGGCGGCGCCGATTGCTTACGATCAGGTAATACGTCTGGTCGTTTGCCAAATTATTCCATAAAAAAATATTTTAAAGAATTTAGCGAGGAACGTGTTCAAGTTTGGGAGAGCCATGCTTCAGGACGAATGGGCCGGCTCGACCTAAGAAAGAAGTTGTAACTCCTCGTTGTGCAGATGTTCATTGCTAGAGCTGATTGCTTACCGACAGATAATTGTAGTTTTTTTTTGTTTTTTTTTTTTCAGGCATCTATTGCCTTTTATCGCCCTAGGCTGGGTGAGAGAGATGGTGTCAGACTCTTGCTGACTTCGCTCTTGACACGCAACTCCGGCTGAACATCAGCCCTGTTGGGCCTCAATTATGGTGGTCTATTGACCCTATAAGGCACGCGCGAGCACAATGCTGGCGGCGTACGCTCAGGTCTGGTGTTCTGGTTTCAGTCAGGCGGCGAGCTACGCCTGCTCGTTGTCCGGATTTCAAAGGTAGATGTTTCAAGAATCCCGCAAAATTTTTTTTCCTTAGATTTTTCTATGATTTACAGTTGCGGTAATGACATGTTATACGACGTGCTTATACACAATAAAATATTGACTAACTAACTATACTTTTATTTCTAACTATAGGTACGTACACAAAATTACTAAAAAACTATACTTTTAACTATAGGTACATTCAACACACACTTCCTCAAGTTCTTCAAGTTGTCTCCCATGACAACTTCAACGTTGTCATGGGAGACTTCAATGCTAAAGTGGGAGTACAGACTAGCGGCGAGTCGGTAGTAGGACCACATGGTTTTGGAAGCAGGAACCATAGGGGGCAAATGCTCGTTAACTTCCTGGAAAAAGAGGGGCTATTTTTGATGAACTCCTTCTTTAAAAAGCAGCCCCAACGGAAGTGGACGTGGCGGAGCCCCGCCGCTATGACAAAAAATGAAATAGACTTCATTATGACGGACAAGAGACGAATATTTAGAGATGTCTCAGTGATCAATAGGTTTAATACCGGAAGTGATCACCGACTTGTGCGAGGCACTCTAAAAGTCTATAAGCTGTTTTCTAGGGTCATAACAAATCGTCTCGCGCGAAGACTCGACGAGTTTCAGCCCCCTGAGCAGGCCGGGTTCCGAGGGGGATATGGTACCGTGGACCACATACATACAGTGAGGCAGATTGTACAGAAAACCGAAGAGTATAATCTGCCCTTATGCCTGGCGTTTGTGGACTACGAGAAAGCCTTTGATACTATCGAAACCTGGGCTGTTCTGGAGTCCTTGCAACGGTGCCAAGTCGACTGGCGGTATGTTCAAGTGTTGAGAGATCTATATGATGCTGCCACTACGGTCGTTCAAGTACAGAACCAGCAGTCTGAACCTATCCACCTGCATCGGGGCGTAAGACAGGGGGACGTTATTTCCCCCAAACTGTTTACTAATGCTTCCAGCTAGGTGGACTGACGACATCCGCAGGGTGGCTGGCAGTGGTTGGATGAGAAGAGCTGAACATCGAGCTCAGTGGCGTGCAATTGGGGAGGCCTATGACCAGCAGTGGACGACAACAGGCTGATGATGATGATGATGATGATGATGATGATGATGATAGGTACATTACAATTTTATTTTCGAAAATCTTATGACGTCATAATTTGGCCTTTCATACCATTTCATACGGATTTCAATAGTATACATACATATATTGTATCGTTTGTATCGTTTTTGACATTTGGTTAAAAGTATTGAATTTGAAAACAATCAAAATAACACATCAATTTAAAATGGCTTCCTACGACAAGTTTTCCCCAAAATCTTTAATAAATAAATGTCTTGTCATCAATGCTATCCGGTATCGCATTGTAAAATAAAAAAAAAACTTAAAAAAATTAAATTTCGCGGGCTACCGCTACATCCACATAGGTATGGGTAGGTACCTAAGTTCCGTCTGTAGCGCCATCTAGTATGGCTTAAAGAAAACAGATGGTGTGACGCAAAATTGACGTCAATTAATGTACTCAAAAACCAAAATAATCTTCACGAAAACAATAAATTGGGACAAACAGGGCTCAAAAACGTTGTGGGAGATCTATATTTTGTTTTAAATATAGTATCTTTACTCGTATAATACGTGATTTATGCACGGATTATATCTGTGTGTCACCTCCCTGAAGTTTTGAAGGGCTAAATTAAATAGTTGTTTAGTCCTAAAGATATTTCTCTATAGGTACTTTTAAAATAATGTACAAGTTTGAAATATGATGTTACATCAATACTATTAATTAATTAATTGATAATAGAACTTAGTCATTATAATATGCTTATTATACCTATATGTATAAATACCTACTACTGTAAGCAAAAGGAATTACGATTTGCGGGCGCCCGGCGACGCGCGGCGAGTCATCTTATTAGAACCGCGTCATTTAATCCAGAGACAATAGAAGTTGATTGCAATTTTAAATGTTGTCAACCTTCGTGAAGTTAACCCAAAATGAGGAAATTATAGTTTTTGCAGTTCGTGGGGAAACCATCTCGGTTACCTTACTGTGATCATTTTTCTCATTTAGACCACTCGAATATCATTTTAAGGGTCATTTTGACTTTTAAAATACCACCCTGACATTTGATTTGTTAAAGAATTAATATAATATTGTCAAATTTCAATTTGAAACTCCAGTATTTTTACATTTAAGTGATGATTACTGGCTTCAAAGTAGGTGCTATCCTTATGTGCTAAACATAATTATGTAAAATAACGATTCTCTAATATTTCAATTAATAAGACTTTTCAACCACTTAATTTCACTTCAGCTCAATGTTGATCTGTTCAACGAGTATCAAAACTGTTCTTATAATTTATATGTAGTAATAATTTATCCCATCTCATCAAAGTCATATCCCTTGATAAAATTTAATCTGAAATATTTAATAAACTTATGATAATAAGGTAACCTTTATGAAAAACGTGGCAACATAGCGCAAATACTTTCTAGATACTTTTGTCTATGGTGCATAGTAACGAGACTTCGAGTAAGATATGAAATCGAATCTGCTCAATAACAATCGATTACAATAAATGTTTCAACTAAATTTTAAATCGATCTTATATTTAATCCCATGGAACAATTATTGTTATTTTAAATTTTTCTAATTTTTTTATAAATGATAAGTATGATTTTTACATTGACTATGTTTAGTATTTAAGTATTCGAAATATGACGTTTCGATTCGATGGCTGAATCCGATTCACGTGATTACGTCACTCGGGCCAAGCGAAGCGAGCGGAGGGAGATGTACGAGATTCGTACTGTGTTAAAATTAATACGTCATCTCATATTCTAAAGTGATATCTGTAAATTAATTCGCGGTGTCGCTCAGAAATTTAATATAAAACAGTAAGTAAACAATTCTGGCGTCGATACACGCTTCACCGTATGGTATGAACGCGTTGTTTGGTTCCCTGTGCAGTGCCTATACAAATGCATAATATAACCTATCTGCGCTTTGCATAAATCTATGAGGCCGCAGCCTTGTAATTGATGCAGATGCAGCCGATGTGGAAATAAGGCGATAATGCGATTACAAAAGTAGTTAAAACGTCATCGGAGCGAAGCCATCAAGACGGGGTGTTTTGCCGCGCTGTGTGCTGTGTTTATTGACGCGTTGGTTGCAATATTGCAGGCATAATGCCGGCGGCGCGAGGCGTTAAACGTGCTGCGTCCAAATCGTCTACCGCTACGGCGTCAACGGCGGCTAAAAACAAGAAAAAACGTGGAGGTGAGTACATCCAAAGGCATTTTGCAATTGTTTTCTTTACATTTTTGCCTATGTCAATGACCTGTCAAACGCGATGGCGGGAAACGAAAGGCGCGAACACTCCACAAAAGTTCTTTTTTTATGTTTACACGTAACTGTAGTTGAAATGGGATTTGGAAAGCCATGTTTGGTAATTTAGAATGATGTTTATGCGTAAATATCGCGTTGGTTATGTAAGCGTCTCGCACGAATGGAATATTTTGAGGTTAGTTAACTCGAACAGCGACGCTTCACATTATTTACAAATGTATTTTTCACATAAATTAGTGTATTTCGTGAATAACTGTGACTAACTTATGCTAAAATAATAGTCTTCAAGTTGAATTGGAGTGTATTTATCATTGTAACTTTGTTCAAAGTTGGCTAATGAGGCTAGAAGCAAGCCATTATTGTGTCATTAGCAATACTACAGAGATAAGCAATAAGTTAACAATACCGTATTTTTTTTGCATTATCTTTGCTCATGTTAAAAGTTGGCAAATAATGACCCATATTTCTAAATATTATGTAATATTTTTAAACATATCATATTGACACATGGTTAGTAACTACACTTTAAATTTTGATAAGATTTATTATTATGTATGGGGTATTAGAGATTCTCTATCATACAACAAACATATTTAATTCAAAAGTTGATCTTTACAAGATATTTCTTTTGAGCTATCATTACTTTTGCATTCTTGATGCAATTCATGTAGGTAATTACTTATTTAATAAATAATAATTAGTAACACCTATATAGCTGTATTGTCTATGACATCATCTCTGAGAAGCAGTAATGTCTAAAACTCCAATTAGAATAAAAAAAAACATTAAAATACCTAACAAACCTATTTCAAAATAATCTAAATATTTTATTTTCCTAGCAAATTATTGGTAAACATAAGTTTTTTGGCATGGCAACACAATGACCTTGACACAATACTTAAGAAAATAACAGTCATGGTGTTATCTATAAAAACAACACTTGTTTGTATGCAGTTATAATTGGTTTAGTCAGCTTTTCAGCTTGTTATTATAGGTTGCTAATGTTTTCCTATAAATATCAAAGAGTAGATTGTAAATTTATTGAAAATAAAATCTTACTCAAATAACTGAAAAAAGCTCTAGTAGTTTCAAGGCACAATGGGATTTGTGTAAGTTCTCAGTTATTTAATGTGAGTAAGTTGTCATTATTTTCAATAAATTTGTTGTGAAGATAGAAAATGTCTCACAATAGTTACTATTCAAGAGCAGATTATACTAGTAGTGTTGCCAACACAAATAAACCTCCACCCTACTACCAATCATATGCAAAATTTTAGAAGTTGCTTTAAAAAAGCCTACACAAAGTTACAATCACATATCACATGTTTAGCAATCAGTGTATATATATAATATTAAATTAAAATAATTTAAATCTTTATGAAGAAAATGTAAGCACCATTTATAGTGCATTAATAACCGTTACTGAGTTTGTTTGCAAAAAATATAATATACAAAGAGTGAATAAAGGATATGTTAATCAATGCTTACTCATGACTAACCGACAATATTTAATTTGGTAATTTTTAATTTCATCATCTCAATACAGTCTCATTACAGAGTTTTTTCTTCATGCAATTTCTCATAGTTTTTTTGTTTCCTTAATGATATGCTAGATCAAAAATTTTGAAAGATTAATAAGGTGTTAAATATAAAATCAATTCCATTGATTTTCGCTACTCATCTAAAATATGACTTAAGTATACAAATGGATTATGTCATTGATCTTTTTTTAGTATTGTTGTCATCATATTTGATAAGAGTGACCTTAAATCTGTGTTGTGCCTAGACTTGACTGTTCAAATTTAATTTGCACTAACACCTGCAACTTATTTCCTGAACTCTTGGTAGTATGGGTGATCTATTGCTTCTAACAGTACAGATTGATTTTTACAATTCTTGCTCAGATTACTAAATTATTTCCCCTGTTGTATGTATGCAACTATCATCCGTCTGTAACTGTCCCATTTTTGGGTAAAGTATCCCTTCTTATATTCTTACTTTTGCGACATAAATTATTTTTCATTTAACAACCCCTTTTTTTACACAAAGACATACATGGCCGACCCAACTCAAAGCATTGTTGGTTTGGTCAGTTAGAATCTGACACTACTTTTTGCTTCTCTCAGTCTGGAAGAAGATACAATGTCTTTTAAATCACAGTAGTAGCTAACTCTTTATAACATTCATAACACTATTTTTGGAGCTTGCACTATTTCACAAACAATGTTACCAAAAGTGTTTCAATGAATTGTCACTGATGACAATATTTATGGAATTATCACATATAAAATACTTATATTATTGACATAAATAGATTCTAGAATAACCAAAAATGGGACCTAAATATGTTACCAACCCACTGCAGTGACTAAGATATTATGCTAATAACAAAAGATTTGCAGTGTTAACTTTTATTTAAATATTTATTATCATTGAGAATCATTATTTGACTTAACTCTAACAAATTTGCAAGGTTTGAGCAAAGAACAACTATTTGTGTGATCCACAAATGCTTGTTCCCAGTCTGGGTGTGATGTGCATGTTAATTTGTATGTTTGTAATTGCACAACAGGGGAAAAACCTAACATAGGGCAATTAAAAATAAACATTATTTCTGTCCTATTACTAAACTCCTCTAGGTTGTTGGAAAAAAGTGACTTGGTTTGACAAAAAGTAAATGATAATAGGAAATAGTGATACCACTTTGTTAGTTACTATAAACTTTGAATTGTTAGATTTTAAGGAGTTTTGTGACTAGCCACAACTACGATCTTTACTATTTAATATTTAAATCTATAGGTTAACATTGTTTCTTAGGCGAGAGCATTTTTAATAATAAAAATTGTTCATTGTATCTGCCCAGCGATCCAATGGGAGATTCCATCGCCTCCAAAGAAGAGGGGTCGTGTGCTAGCATGCGGACAGGGTGATGTGGGACAGTTGGGGCTTGGAGAAGATGTCGTCGAGACTTCCAAGTAAGTTGTTCACCATATAAAAAAAAAACAAAAACATTATAACAAATATACCAATTATTATTAAATGGTTGACATTTAATAATAATTGGTATATTTATAGTATGACTGCTACAAAAAAAGTTTAATATTGGATTCAGTCAAAATGAATTCACTCTGAATTCATTAAAGGCTGTCAATGATATTATGGACTCAGGATATGCTTCAGGGTAACAATAGCCATATCTGTTAATAAGTCCACCTAACCACTCAAAGATTTGCGGGAAATATATAAATAAAAGAAGAGACTGAAATTATTATCATCCTTTTAGAAATCTTTATATGGAAACAATGCGTTTCCTTGTAATATCTGTGGATGGTATTAAAATAACTTTATTCATATTGCAGATTCAAGTATGTGACTGCACTGGGTGACAAAATAGTTGATGTGTATGCTGGTGGAATGCATACAATAGCTCTGGATAGCAGTGGGAAGGTAAGATAACAAAATATAATCAGCTTTCTATACTAATATTAAAGAGGTAAAACTTGTAATTTGTAAGTTTGTAGGGTCACTGATGGATAGCTAATATGAGATATAGGCTATAAAACATCATCCTAAGACCAGTGAAATTGTGTGACAGTAGCTAGTAATTATTATAAGTTTTTTGTTACTTTTCAATTATCCTTAACTTTCCTTTTGTTGTTATTGACAATAATGAATTGCTTGACTTTTCAAACATCATTAATAACACGCCTCCTTGAAGTCCATCTTTAGTATTTTGTTACTTAAAAATGTATGTAAGTCTTATTATGTAAGTATATCTTCTAGTGTTTAATTATCTATATGTTATCTTTAACGTATCCCGCAGGTATGGACATTCGGGTGTAACGACGAGGGCGCCCTGGGCCGGGCCACGTCGGGAGAGAGCGAGGAGGGCACGCCGGGCGCGGTGCGGCTGCCGGCGCCCGCCGTCTGCATCGCGGCCGGGGACTCGCACTCCGCCGCGCTGCTCAACACTGGAGACGTCTACGCTTGGGGAGCCTTCCGGGTATGTACTTAAGGTTATCATACTAATTATATTATAAAGTTAAAAGTTGCTAAAGTTTTTGACACTCGGTAAAATCTAATGGACAGATCAGAATGAAACTTGACATAATGTAAATATAGATTATTTTTACACTAATGGTATCATTGGCAGACATTAGTATACAACATAAAAGACATATGAATGTTGTCAGACATTTAATTTTTTTTGCGAGTTATAAAATTCAATAGTTTTGTGTCTAACTCGAGTATGTAAAGCAATTGATGCAAAAAATGCATATCTGAAACAAAAAACATTTCATTGTCTCTGCCTTCCCTACTTGCCTTTGGGATGTGATGAGATGTATGTTCAAAAAATTATGTTTCAGCAAATAATCACAAAAGTTCATATTCATTTAAATTTTTCAGCATCATCCTTATTTCGTCCACTACTGGGCATAGGTCATACAAAAATTCAAATCCAAACTAATATTATAAATGCTAAAGTAACTCTGTCTGTCTTTTCTTCGTGATGTCTGTTCTTAAAGTTAACTTTCACTTCATGTCTAAACTACTGAACCAATTTCTATGAAATTTAGTAGATACATAGTTTAGAACTCGAGAAAGGACGAGATAGTTTTTATACCAAAAATCTGCAGGAAGTCACTATTCCATGCGAACGGAGGAGATACATTGATTGTCCATTTCTGTCCATGAACCACCCGTGAGCTAAGACATATAAGTAATAACCGTTATTTGTCCAGGACTCGCACGGCAGTATGGGGCTGGTAGTGCGCGGGCGTGAGGGCAAGTCGTGCCGCGAGCCCGTCCACGTCGACATCGGGGAGACTGCCGTCGCCATCGCCTCCGGTGGAGACCATCTCGTCATACTCTCGGTGAGACATATTTATTTACTTATTTCAGTACTATTTATAATACTTACTATAGTTACGTTCTGAATGTACTCACTATAGTTACAAATTAATATGTAAGTATATTTTAACAATGGTTATAGTAGTTTTGTAGTTCCTACATGACTGACGCACGGTTGACACGATGGCTGGGTACAAACACAACAACTGGCTACCAACTCTGTGTGTGATCCACAAAGTGTTGTTTAGGGTCTGGGAGTAATGTGTACCTATGTGAAATTGTATGTTTATACACACCAGGTTTTTAGAAAAGAGAATAACCTAGTTTGGTATTATTATTTTTTTGTAGCCTTAAGGCTACCATGTAAAGAAATAAGTTATTTGCACTGCTCACTTTTCAACAGTAAAGTTAAAATTCTCGTTCTATAGTAACATTCATAATTTGTAAATTAATTTATACTTATAACTTTATATTTCTGTGAATTTATAAAGTCCTAGTATTAAATGTATCATTTGTTTGCAGGCTTCAGGTGGTGTGTACACAATGGGTTGCGGAGAGCAAGGACAGCTCGGCAGACTGTCGCAGCGATCCGCTTCCAGAGACGCCAGGCAGGGATTCAGTAAGTACCATTATGTATGACATTTGTAGTGACTAAAAGTCTCTTGGTTTTGGAGGTCAAAACTCAGTTTGTCTGTCCAAAGTAACATTTTTTATGACAAAGGAGCTCAACAAAATGTTTACTTACAAATCTTGGACATTTTTTTTTTACTTTTGTATTTTTAATGCACAGTAGAGACATGAGGAAACTATGGAAAATCTTTCTTTATTGAACAAATTTTCGTAACTAACAAGAAAATATCTTTCCAGGTGCTCTACTGGTTCCGTCGAAGGTGACACTGAAGGCAGGCGGAGCGCGTATCTGGGCGGGCTACCACGCCACCTTCGTACTCGACAACAATGACAAGATGTTGGCCTGGGGACTCAACAACTATGGACAGCTTGGTTAGTATTTTGTTATATTCTATACTTTAGGTAATTAACTACAATCTTGGCATGTCTTTTTATCTGAAAATTGTATGTAAAAATGTTTAAAATCAGTTATTTACGTAAATCGATATTAGGTAATAAACTGAATTTAAATTATCTATGTATGTATTTTACACGACCTCTTCAATATAGAAACCACCTAAATCGATAGACCATAGTACAGCAATACATTTAAACATTCAAGTAAAAATATAAGTAACATTCGAGCAAACAATACCAACGGCATTAAGTCCTCCGCCTATGCACTTGAAGCTTAAATATATATCTTAATGTTTTTATGTAATATTTGAAGTATTACTATACTATACTGTAAATAGATGTACAACAAAGGTCTTGATCCCCTTAGAAAACACAACAGATTACTAATCCTATACAATGTTTTCACTCTGCAGGTATAACAGGCGAGAAGCGCAAGACAGCGATATTCTCCCCGACAGAGTGCGACGCGTTCACGAGCCAGCAGTGCACGTGGGTCCGCGTCGCTTGCGGACAGCATCACTCGCTCGCGCTCGACTCCGCCGGGCAGGTCTACGCCATCGGCCGCTGCGAGTACGGCAGGTCAGGGAACAGATTGTTTTAAAAACTTTACTAATATTATAAATGCGAAAGTTACGATGTTTGGATGTTTGTTACTCAATCACGCCAAAACGGCTGGACCGTACAATCCGGAGTCGGATATAGGCTACTTTTTATCAACATACCACACGGGCGAAGCCGCGGGCATAGGCCTGTACTACATAAATATGCTACATCGATAAAGTTTATCTCATACTAAACTTATAAGCAGAAACGACTTGTAAATAAACGAATCTAATAGTCGTTAATTGATACAAGAATATTTCCGTGTAATTTGGTTGGATTAATTAACCGGTAGTTCCATACTTGTCGAATTTAATACTGAAAATAAATGACAAAACCAATAATTTCTATGAATTTTGTATGTCAATTGTTTGCTTATATTATATTGTTTTTCTCAGATTGGGTCTCGGTGACCGTGCGGGTGACGCGGAGGTATTGGAGCCGATCCCCGCGCTTCAGAACAAGAAGGTCATCAGCATAGCCGCAGGGACCAGCAACTCATTCGCCGTTACAGACTCTGGTTAGTTTAACTCAAACCAACGTTATTTGTCTGTTAACAACACACCTATGTCATTGGAGGAAATTTTAAGGCAACATAGTAAATTTTTTTTATGTCATAGCCGGCAAACAAGCACAAGGATTTGATGGGTAGCAATCGCCCATGGACTCTCATATTACCTAAGGAGTAACTACAAGTGCGTGTCCGGCATTTTGTAGGTTATTTGGGATTTCAGGATTGAGAATGAGGGGCGGGGGAATAATTGGGCCTCCGGTAACCTCACTCACACGGCGAAACACAACGTAAGTGTTGCTTCATGCCATTTCTGTGAGGCCGTGGTATGACTCCGGTCGAGCTAACACAGTGAGGCATTGCTTTCCCACACTGAGCATGTTAATTCGAATAATATGACCAAGCTATGTTGTCAAACTGACATTCACTTGTATATTTTCGTCGTGTTTTTAATGGCCAAACAAGAGCTATAATTATTTTATTGACTTACAGGCAGCGTGGTGTCATGGGGCATGGGTTCGGAAGGCCAGCTGGGTACAGGCGCCTGCAACGACGCGGCGGAGCCGACGGCCGCCGTGACGCCGGCGCTGGCAGAGCGCACGCCGCTACATATCTCCGCCGGGGGACAGCATACTGTGCTGCTTGTTGTTAGTATTACTATTACTATGGATATTTGAAAGTTTCTCTGGAGTTGGCCTCGATTCTGTAAGAATATTTATTTATTTTTATTCTTTATATACAATTGCATATCGGAGGACTTAATGCTAGAAGCATTTTCTGCCAGTCAACCTTATAATAAATAATATCTCTTTAAAAAGTATATTAGGCTACTAACTAAAGAGTTAAAATATCTAATTATGTTGAATGTATTGTCAGTTTTATCCACCAGTTTAAAAGTCTATTCAATGCAAATAGTACTCAGTCTGTAGAGTTTTATTCAGATTTTTAGTATTTTGGGCGTGACCCAGTAAAATTTGCCTGGTAATAAATAAACATAATGGTATTTGTTGGATATTACATTAATTTTGCATAACTTTTTCAATTTTGAGTTAAATTGTTATTGACCTACTCTTTATCTCTATACAGGAGGACCCAACCTCCCAAAAGGAAGCATCCCCACCCCCAGAAAGTGAAACTTCAGAGCAGAAGGGTGACTCACAATCCGCTGAATCAGAGGAAGAGGAGCCCAAACCTGCCAAGCGGCCGAAGAATGAGCAAGAAGGAGAGATCTCTTCCACATCCAGCGCACAGCCCAGCGATGTAGCCGAGGAGGCTAAACCACAGGTAACAAATCTTTAAAAATACTAGTTAAAAGGTTTTTAACAATCATCAAAAAATATTTTCAAAGCTCAAAAATAAATAGGAAATTGTTTACTTCCTAATATTCCTAAATTAAGTCAGTTTTTGTCGAAAATATCACAGAAAAACCAGTTTTTTACTGAAAACAGCTAAAATTAACTAGATATAAGGGAGTTTGTGACAAAAAGCATTACTTTTATTATTGAAAGAGGCAAAATGTTTAAAGAAAGGTTGGGTTAGCCATAAAATTGATATATTAGAAGTCCTCAACTAAACCCCAATTTACTACAGGAGCAATATTTCCGCTCAAGTGTGTCAACTTAGTGTAAACAGATAAGGGACTGATAAGCATTATTATTGATTATAAGTGCTAGGGGATTGTGTGGGTAATAGCAAAACTACTTTATGAAAATGTTACAGTTATTAAATAAATCTAGGTTTGATTTTCAACCATAGAAATCTGTGTACAGCTACAGATGAATGTGTGATCAAAATACTATTTTAATGTCTAATATATGTACTTAAATTGAAGACAATTCTTTTTAAAACTTTCTTGTTGATCAAGGACAGCCTTCAAAATAATGGGGACACAGGGCCACTAACCTGGGCGGGAGAATTTTATGATTTTCCCCTCACAAAGACTAAAATACGATTCTTAAATGACACTAAACAGTGTTGTTGATAGCCTATATATCCACTGGCTTGTATTCATATAACATACAGCTTAATCCGAGCATTGATATAAAAAAGACTATAAACCTAATGGACCATCTACTATAGGGTAAAAAACGTGGCCCAGCGTCAGGGTCGTCTGCGAGAAGCGGCAAGAGTTCCAGGAAAAAGGCACGCCGGAATTAGGTTCTTAATAGTTGTTACAATGTGTCGTTTATTTAATATTTTTATGTTGCACTTGTAAAAATGTATTTTCGTACTAGCTGTTTTTATATATTTTATTAAAATGTGGGAGAGCCACCTTCACGAATTGTCTAGCTTGATTGGTGTGATACCACGTTCTCACAGAAAACTAGCGTGAAATAAAGGTTCCGTAGTGGAATACCTACTACTTTTCCTCAACACCTAATTATCAAATTCTTAAAAGGCGTTATCAAAATAAAATAGTTGTGTAAGTTCAATGGATCTCTAGGCTGGGTATAGAACAAATCGATTTAAAAGTCTACTTCATTTAGTCTTCGGAATCGCGGGAATTCGATGAACGATTTTTCTATTATGTATTATAATGTAACAGACTTTTTGAAATTGTTACTTTCCATAATTCTATAAATCGTAAATAGCTAATAATTTCCAATTTTAAGCTTTTTTACAAGTGCAACTTACGAAATGTATAGTGTAGGTTTCTAGGTAGGTAAAGGTAACAGAAGATATAAGGCATAATTCTAGTTTAATAAATGGGTGATGGAATAGTATAGTTACAATAGTTTTTTTTTAGTTTTGTTTTTGTCTTTTTTTATTTTGTATTTTTTTTAGTTAGTTTTTTTTATTTTATTTTTTATATTTTAAGTAGTTAAAAGTATTTTGTTATTTGTATTTGTATGTAGAAATTGATGAATTTATATTCTTAAAAGCCAAGCATGGTGGCTTATATTCAACTCTAAATCAGGTAACATTTATTGACTCATCGAATTTAGGACTTGGTTTATGAATGGGTGGCATGAATAGTTATATGTCTGTATATTAATTAAGTCAATGTGTTGGTGGCGAATTTATTGAAAATAATTACTTCAATCTGATTCGAGAGCGGCTGCCGTCAAGCCCCATCGTGTCCTGAAACTAATAGATAGAATACTCTGTTTATTAGCGTGAGCGACTCGTTATTTTCGATAAATCTTGTATGTCTGAAGATTGGTGTTGCGAAATTTAAATGTATGCAAGGTTCAGGCAATAATTTTGTAGTAATTAAATAAGTTCATGCATGAGGAGTAAATGTGTCTAAATGTGACTGTGAGCAATTGTTTTAATATTATTATTGGCTATAGTATGTATGATCTAAGGATTTACTATTGGGAAAAGGGTCGTTCTGTCTACAAATTATGTAAAGCGGCCGATTGCCCAGCTATGCTAACCATTATAGATAAACAATTATTATAATATTGATCTGCAACTTTCAGAAGGTGAACGGTGACGAGAAGAAAGAAACCCCGATGGAAGTTGATGAAACTGGTAAGTTTAATATATTTATTATTATTTGTTACATATTACAATTTCTAATTTTTAATCCATACCCTAACTAACTCGCCAAATAACCTATTACTGTGTATTGGAAATAATATTTGGACCAAGATTCATCACAATATTTTTATCGAGGTGGGAAAACCATTAAATGACTTCTCTCGCCCAGGATATGGGAATAGGAAGAGTGAGACTCTTACTTACTAACCTCCCCCCCCCCCAGTTCTTTCTCCTGCACGAGGCCGCGGTACCTTATTGCGCTTGGCCTTATCGCTTATCGGCCCTGTTGGGTCCCATCTGACGATCCACCACAATCTTTATTATAGTTAGGCGCGAAAGAATAAAAAATCCTCAAATATCCTCCTCTAGAAATATTCTCCCCCGTCGTATCCCTCATTGCTTAGGATCACGAGGACACCAAGGTGATGTCCGCTTGAATTTGCTGCCACCAAAACATACATTCACAAAACTAAACCTTCTTTACTATAAAATAATGACAACATTTCTTTGCATAAGACATATTATAGATAACAGCTCAGTCGCGTAATGGTTTGGCGCGTTAAGTAAGTCACGTTTGGGGCCACATATACATGAACATAATAATTAGACTGGATGGTTGGCGCGGTGGTTGGGCAACTGGCTGCCGCGCAACGTGTCGCGGGTTCGATTCCCGCCCGGAACAACTCTTTGTATGATTTACAGATTGTTGTTCCGGGTCTGGGTGTGATGTGTATGTGAAATTGTATGTTTGTAAACGCACCCACGACACAGGAGAATATCCTAGTATGGGGCAACGTTTTTTAAATAAATCGTAATGATATAGTATGGTGCACTGAACAAATAATGAACAAAATGGTTATGATGGCATAACAATATTACTATAATAATATCCATTACAAATGGATCATAATGTTACAGTCAATACAATTTCTAACTGTTAATTATGGTAACATTATTTTACAAATTGACATACGAAAGTTAACTGAAAAAAGTCAGACTACAGCTAACAATATTATCTTCTTATTAACAATATTTCCATTCACAGACACCCCACAACAGAAAGAAGAAGACGCAGAGACAGAAACAAAATCAGCAGACGAACAAACAGACACGGAGCAGACCGAACCAGAGAACACACAGACGGAGGACTCCAAGCCAGAGACAACGGACACCTCCAGCCAGGAGACCACAGACAGCGATACCAAGTCTCAAGAGCCAGAGAAAACTGACGTGGAAATGAGCGAAGAACGTACTGAAGTCAACGGCACGCCAGAGGTCGTTGAACCCAAGACTGTCGACGTCATACCTACAGCCAACCCCCTGACCACAACAGCGTGATGTTAACTGTGTTAGTATCTGGACAGCGCATAGTTGGTTTAAACGTTCGGGTTTTTGTTCGGCAGGCGGCTACGTTATACATATCTTACGTAAGGACTGTTAGCTTCACTCTAATGATTTCACAATCGATTTCTACACATCACTTTAGCTGAACACAATATTAAATTAGTTCTAAAGTAAATGTTATTCTAAATGAACCGCCTCGTTGACGCATTTTTTTAGTCTAAAACTTTGTATTAGATTTGATATTAGCGCCTTCAGGAATCGTTCGTGCCTTTCCTTTATTGAGGACTACACGGATAGGCTAAAAGTTTGACGCTTTTTTTTAAAAGAATATTTAAAACTGAAGGAATATGTCTCGGCGGTTGATTCATGTCTTCATAGAATAAACACCAGTTGACTGGACAATCTCTACACCACATGAGGGCTGAATAGCTCATTCAGTTATTGAAGAAATAGCTAAATAAGCCTCAATCATCAAGTTTGCAATAATGTAATAACAGATAGTTATTTCAGAGATCACAGTCCAAAAAACAGTCACCGCCAAGACACATACAGCTCAGTTTTATCAACAATGAATCGTAAATACTTAGTTTTAAAGTATATTTTCGTAAAGTTCAGTCTTTGTCTGTCTAAATCAACCCTGACGTATAAATTGACTTGGTACCTTGTGGTACTTTGAGCTATCGGGCGGTACGATGTCTTGTACTGAATTGTATTGTTGTACAATACTAATGATTTTTTTACAAAATATATATTCGAAGTTGACTTTTGTAGGTAAGTATGTTCTTTGTACTGGTTCGCGAACGCTAAATATTTGGTTTCATAATCGTAAGCCCAAAATCGTCTTAGAATTCGTGGAAGGCACTTCGTGTAACTTACTGATGTGTTTAACCAAATGTGGATAATTCATTGAAAATGTAATTAATTAATATGTCAAAAAAGCTGTTTATGGACAATTTTGTAGATTTCTAATCAATTTTTCACTTGATTTTGATGATGAAGTCTAATAAATCAAATATACCTTTCAGTGCGAACAGATCACAATTGTTTGCGAATCAGTACCTGACTCTGGTGGCATGTAATGTAATTAACGATAAATAATTGACCTGTAAGACCTGTTCCGTACATGTCTGCCCATCTAAGCTCGATACAAGCGTGAAGCTTGTGTTAATAATAATTTAATATTATGTTTGACCTTGAAATAAAGCTAAAAATTAATTAAAATTCAATCTTTTCTTCTTTCTCCTTTCGTCCTTGTATTACTGAATAATATTACACTATAATTGTAATGAGTAATTTAGCAATATTTTTGTGTACTATTGATGTTATTGTCGTTAAATGCATTACATACGCGTTCACGCGTTAGTTGTCAATGTGCTAGTTACTCCGTTTGTTGTACAATTGAAATATTATAGTCTGCGCGATTTGAAACGACGCGGTATAGTTTCACAGAATATACATAGGATTACGGTTATGAATGTTCAGTGTTCACATTAGATACAATTAAGCATATTGTAGTTACATAGAAAATATGAAGAATAATAGCTAATTCTGTACACACGAGTGGGAGTACGTTTGCCCATTATACAAGTTTCCTTTCAACTCAGGTCACATGTTCAATTTATCGTGCCGTTTCGAATTGTAAGGCAAAGGCACACAATGTTTATCAACTTCGAATATGATAAAAGTCCCGTTCCGAGGCTAACGCGCCTATATTTTTTTATAAAAAATGTTGATACACTGCCGTTTTGTTCGTAATAATTATATTAAAACGAAACGATTTATTAGTATATACAGTGGGATATGTTTTTATTTAGGTAATAGGCGATACCGATATTATTGTATAAGCGAAATTATTCAATTACATTAATATGTGTTTGTAATGTTGCTCTCGAATCAAGTTCGTCAGCAAAATGTGGCAATATGTATTAAAAATGAAGCATAATTTTATTTATTGCTATGGAGTTAGAAATTGTAGCTTAATTTAAGTTTTAATGTATGGTTGCACTAAAGATAAGGGTAATATTGCGAACAAATCGGGCGAAGATGTCGGCTGCGCGCGTCCAGCCTCGAGCGTGACATGTAAAATAGTATCTTTTAGCGATACACGTCGCGTATAGTGTTGAGGTTGCTAGAAAATAATTGATATAAATAATTAAGCTAAGCTAATTATCAAAATGTTGTAACGTGTCCTTGACTGGTACAAAAATAACAATATTTCGGAAAATAGATAAGTATTGTAGTAAAAACAAATTGAAATCATTAAGTAAACGTTATGTTGAAAAAGTTTTTTTATTATTTTATAGTAACGTTTTTCGTGCATGATTCTAAAAGTACAAATGTACTGGTTCTTTCACACGACGCTATATTTCTTAATTGTTAAAATAAAGATGAACTATAATGTATTGTGTTTTCCTAATAAAATAGTAGTGTAACATTTGTGTTTTATTTTTTATTGGATAAATAATCTTTACAGTTAGTACAATTTACACTGATTTACATGTCATACATTTGAGAATAGTTGAACATAAGTATGGTCAACGAAAAAAAAGGAGCATGTCAGAAAGAAATCAAAAATATGAACCACATAAAAAAAATTGGAAAAATAAGAAATATATCAAAATAAAAGTAGGTACCTAAAAATTAAAATAAGGGCTGATTTTTCAATGGTTAGATAAAAGTTATCTGGGAAATAATTATGATGCTGTCGCGTCAGAATGTTTGTTAAGACAGTGACAACAATCAAAAGAAGAAGATCTATAACTAACTAAAAGGCCTAGATTGCTTCCTTAACTCGCCCCTAATAGTGTGGTACTGACTCGATATGTGGCCACTGTACAACAAATACTACCTCGGTTCCTTAGTAACTAAATTTTTTTAGCAAGTCGAGTAAACCCAGCTGTTGCGTTCGATAGTTCAGTGGAGAGAAATAATTGAATTGTGGACTGTATACTTAGTATCAGATGTAATCAGACTGTTACAATGACGGTTATAAGAAAGTCAATTAAAAAGATAAGAAAGCGCGAGCGCAGCCAGTCTACGCGTTCAGCAGGAGGCCATTAAGTGCATAACTCAACACCAGCCATGGCCAATTTACACAGTAGAACGGCTTTATTAACGCTGTCAAGTTTTCTAAAGTCGAAATAAGCAACGTCATGCCAGGCGCCAAGTACGGAATCCAACAACTCCCTTGTTCATGAAGCTCATGAGGTTAGAGTTCGTGCTGCGACCTGCTCCGTGCTGAGCGTCACTTACCTGCGCGCTGAACTGAGGAGTGATGCACCAAAGCGCTGTTACAAATACTTTGGGGCTTTGGGGAAGGTAGATAACACTGCGACTGGTCGGTAGCCACTCGCTTCCTAGCTAGGCGAACCCTTAGAAAGTGGAGTCACCCTAGTTAACTTCCACCCACCAGGGTCAACGCATTCTTTCAGGCAGAGATTGAACAAATGTTGCAGTGGGCGAGCTAACGATCCACTGAAATCTTTTACAACATAGGGTGGAACCCAATGTGAACTTACTGACCGCTTATTATCAGTGCCGGATTAGCCACGTAGCAAGAGTAGCAAATGCTACGGGCCCCGCGGATTGGAGGGCCCCGCGCTCAAATAGGTATTTCGTAATTACACCACTTCAACAGCAAGACCTATGTAGAAAATGTTTTGTTTACAAAACTACTACCAAACGGTATCAAAATGAACAACAATAATTTGAAATTGTACCACATCTTTTAAATTGAGCGCTAGCCACACACAAGTTATGTGTTGTACTACTTGCACTGCACTAAACACAAGTTGGCAACACTGCAAAACCATTTGGGGAATTCCCTGATATTGTCATCGATCGAGCTAGCCGTAACTCGAACAAATAAACTAGGATGCTATACTATCAAACAATAAGAAATTGATATACACTTTCCTTTGACTCAATATAAAAAACTACTAAGCACTTTAAATGTGAACTATTTGTGAGAAAAGTTGTGTTGACATTGCTTCAAGTAGGTACTGTTTTCGTGATTGACGTAGCGCTGTGTGCAATTCATTAAATTATCTTTTTACCGACTTCAAAAACAGGAGGGGGTACTATGTTCGACTGATTGTTTTTTTTTTTTTTTGTATATTCACTGATTACTCCGCCCTTTATAAACCAATTTCCAAAATTCTTGTTTTGTTTGAAAGGTTATACTCCCCAGAGAATGGGAAACACCAACATGAAAATGGGACCAATTTTCATGAGGTCGGAATCTGATGATATAATCCTAGGGAAACCGAGGGGAACTTTCGAAAATTGTAGGGGTAAGTAGTGCTACAACTTGCCGATAGTCGAACTTGACCTGATGATGGAGCCGGAAAACAGTTGAAGGATCTCTTTGATTATTTGAAGTAGTTATCTTGTGTTTGGGCTTGAATTATTCTTATTGGTGAGCACTTTGCACCAAGATTGCTCGTGACTGCCATTAGGGGTCTGATGATGAGAACGAAGGACAGCTTAGGGAACTCCTGAACGGTTCACAGCAACTACCTCGTGTTTGGACTTAATTCATTTATATCGATGAAAACTTCGCACCTATATGGGTTACAATGAAGTTATGGAGTAAATCTGATGATGGAGCAGGAAGACTGTAGTAAGATCTCTTTGACTATTTGGAGTAATTATGTTGTGCTTGGATTTAAATCAATTATATGGATGAGAACTTTGCACCTATACGTATTACGTATATTGAAGCTCTGCAGTATAAATGATGATGGAGACCATTGACAGTCGAGGGAATTCCTCAGCGATTAACAGCACTGAACACGGACTAACTCAGGACTACTACTATTATTGGGATTTTCGGTCTCAAGTAGTCGTCGTCTTCTCATTCGAAAACCATTATCCTTGCTTGCTCTCACAATCGTCTGATCAAGACCTTAATACGGGATACGTCCTTTATGAATTAGAGGCAAGATCCAAAGATTTGACTAACTGTGAAGAATACCAGCAACAGACATCACGACGAATCAAGCGAAATACAAAGTACGACCATTTCAGCGGGTCTTATACACTCGAAGACTATGTTGAAAATCAAACACCTGGACAACGTTTCGAATTTGAGGTGTTTGTTGTCATAACTGATAACGTACTGTCTGCTATAACTAAACGTATGAAAGCATATCATAAAATTACTATTATAGTGTTTTTGATGTATTTCGACTGATAAAATCTCTTGCAACAGAAGAGATTTTGAAAAAATCGTCAAAGATGTTCAGTGCGTACGAAGATGATTTGGAGAACGGCCAATTAGTGCAGTTCGCAGGGTTGCTGAAAACAGATGTGGCTACTGTAATTGACAGCAAGAAACAGGAGCGTCTGGAACTGCAATTTTATAAACTTTTATTAAATAATTCTTTAGAATCGTGATTCCCAAATTTAGAAATTGCCTTGCGTATTTACCACTCTCTTGATCACTAACTGCAGTGGCGAACGTTCTTTTTCAACGTTGAAACGAATTAAAAATAAATTAAGGAACACTATGGGCCAAGTACGTCTTAATCATCTCACGTTGTTGAATATAGAGCATGACTTGCTTAAAAAAGTCGATATTGAAAGTGTAATCGCTACATTTGTAACAGTTTTGTTTTATTTAATACCCTTTTGAGAACCGTTAGCAAACCAAGGGCCCCTTGACAGAATTTGCTACAGGCCCCGCGCTGGCTTAATTAATCCGGCACTGCTTATTATTATTTTTTTTGAGGGGAAAATCGTCAATGTCCTCGCCGCGGAGGGAGAGCCAGACTTACTAAACACCCCCCGTTCCTTCTGCTTTGGGCCGAAGCTGAGGGGCCTCATTGTGCTTACCTCGCAACCCCGGCTGAACATCAGCCCTATAGAGCCCGTTTGTGGTGGTCTATTGACTCTGAGGCGCGCTATGACAATTCGGGCGGCGAGCTACCCTTACTCGCTGTCCCCAGATCCACGCTTACGGCGGTCGAAGATCGTCTCTCGTTACTGACTGCTTCGGTTTCAGACGCGCAAGCGCATTTCGCACAGCCTGGAGACAGCTGCCCCACGTGGATGCGCGTGCCACGCTTCGACGCCTCGCGCGGCGGCCGTTGCGTCCAGACTTCTCCATTCCACACACCGAGCTAAAATACCTGTTCTGCGAACCCCTGAGCACACCTTCTTCTAAGGGTAGGTACCTAATATTTTTTACGATACGAGTTTTACTTCGTTTCGCCCGTTTAATTCCTATAAAGGACCAAAACGACCGTGGTCCTTTTGTAAACTGTGGCTCAATACGGCTCTGATAATTATTATAACAGATAGAAATGTTACGTTTTACTAAAGAACGAAAATGTGAAAATTTTGTATATAGTTATCTACTACTTATATATTAGATGAAGATGGAGAAGATAGAGTTGCTATTATAGTAAGAAATGAAACACGTTTAGTTTTTTTGATATGCTTTTATTTATTCAAGTTGCATACACTACATATTTGGAATACAAATACTACATGCATTTGAGCGTACATTACTTGACAGTCGTCTTAAACAAATTAACAAATAACAAACAAATTCGCACGATTGATTCGCTAAAATTGACACAAAAACCGCATCGCAATCGGTGCATTCGTTCTAGAGCTAAGAACCAACAAACATACATACATTAGCTTCGAACACTTTTTTCGTTAGGTAACAATGTTTCTTATTACACATTCTAAGAGTCACATTACTTTAACGTTGATCTGGGACAAAACATTATAAATGGTTATTCGAGTTCACCACACTGCTATCAACCAACCGTTAATATTTATTACTAGGTAACACAAGAATCACAATGAGTAAGCCCGAGAATCGTTTCATTAGTATCCTACACATTTTCTCTTTTCTCTTTCTTGATATATTTTAGCGAAATCAATCGTCATGCAATCAGGATCTGATGCAATACGCATTATTGGGTCAATTGGTATATTAACGCTAATTTCAAAGTGCATAGAATACGGTTGTATCAATCTGAAATGTCACATGGAAATTTCGAAAAGTTTACTGTTAAAAAAATCGGCGATCGGTTACCATTATTTTCTATAGTTGTATGACTCATAAGACCCACAAATTCATGTAAAATACAAATTGACCCATATAATAAAGAAAACGTACATAAAATTGTACACACATGTCATATTCAATAGAAAAAGTTTATACTTATTCAGTTTTGGCGTGAATAAGCTTTTCATTGCATATATTTGAGTACCGACCGCCAGACTACTTTAATTCTAATTTTATTTAATACGATTACTGACAATACGAAGTCATCCAGTGTAGGAAGCACCAGTTTATTAAAAAAGGAATTACAAAAATTAATTTTCGACTATAGGTACATAAATGTATTCGACGGTCGAAAAAATATTTCCTACATTTTAGCAGCTAAGTGCAAAAGTTACTGATACAAAAATATCATGATACATATTATATTCCATTGAATCCACACTAGAAATTACAATTAAGTGCATTAAATATAAAATTACATACAATATAGTACATTACATACAAAATCAATTTAATCCTCCTTTGTTAGTCTAACTTGTAATATTAGTTAGTTTGTATTAATAGGTTTCTAAATGAAAGCTTCCTGAAAACACAAAAGAATACTGTGATAAATGTTACAATACATTATGCCATTCAAGTCACTACTAAATTTTTAGGAATGTAGGAACCATAATGTCGTATTACATATATTCTTTGGATAAGTTAGCAGGCGGATCTTTTGATAGTAAGCGATCTGCAAATCATAGAAAAAGCGTTGTTGTTGACATTTTAAATACATATTGACAGAATTATTTAACCTTATTTTGTTAATTACGTGGGATATAGGTATCAAATATATTAACAACCTCTATGTATATACTTGCTAACTACACATAATTTAGTTTATTTTTATATATTTAACGCACAGAATTCAATTCCTAGTCGACTGTATCTGTCTATTACTAAACACACAATGACAAAGATCAACAAAACACTTCCTTATTTTGAGTACATATCATATTGCTATCTCTATCATTTTTACTCAATACAATTGGAGTGAGAGAGACAGAAATAACTCATAGGTTTTTTCTTTGAATTGATGTTTTCTATAGACAATGTTATTCGCTTTAATTATTGACATAAATCAGCTAAACTAATACCAAGATGTTATAATAATAATATCGAATTCAAAAGGAAAGTGTTATCTTACTGCATTCTATTATAATGAAAATCCAATAAATTTTTGTTGACCAAGAAACTATCCAAGTTTAGATTTATGCATAGACAATCGCGTTTAGGTTTATGTAGGTAGCTTCCCAATTTACATATGTAGAGTAATTGATTATATTAAAGAATTATTGCTTCAATATTGCTATTTCGATATTTTTTTTTGACCAAACTTAATAAATAAAACATCAAACATTTTTGGAGACTGTTTCAACAGTCAAAACAAAAGAAAAATTAAGAATTTAGTCATCTTTAACAATATTTTTAGAACGTAGTCTAAGTGTGGGAGAGCCAAGCTTCGACACGAATGGGTCGGCTCGACCGGAGTGATTGCATGACCTCATAAAAAACCGGCGTGAAACAACCACAGCGATGTGTTTCGCCGTGTGAGTGACGTTAGCGGAGGCCAAATCCCTACCCAAAAAAAGTTGTGTTTATATACTCTTTGGATCTTTTAGTGGATTAATTATTTTGTTGATATAAACAAGAAAACATATTTATAAGGTCATATATGTAGTTTCTAAATGACAATAATTTATTTTATACCGGGCATACAATTGGGAATGAATGGGCGTACGTTTACATACATAACACAACTAGATCTCTTTAAAATTAATATCTACACAGATAGACAGACACACATACTTTTACAGAACAGACAGAATACTTATATTTTATGAACTGTATTTGGCTAAGTACGCTTCACTAGACATGGGTTCGAATCCTGACAAGTACCAATGTGACTTTTTCCGAGTTACATATACTTTCTATGATTATTTAGACACCACTGACATACGGTGAAGGAAAACATCGTGAGGAAACCTAAACTTATAATTTCTAATTACAAGTTTGTAATCGCCAATCCGCCTTGAGCAAGCGTGGTGATTAATGCTCAAACCTTCTCCGTGTGAAAAGAGGGTTTGACTTAGCAGTGGGCACTTATAGGCTGAACGAAAATTAATAAGTTTTATATTACAGATAAGAGGTTTTTATTATTGTTAAAGTATGTGTGCCGTAGCGTAGACATGGAAGAAGCCAGTAATAATAATAATTAAACAAATACGTTTTACTCATCACTCCGCTATATCCGCGTCCTCCGCTTCATCTGAAATATTATGGAATAATGTTACTACTGACTTACTTCCTATTATGACAATATCTTAAGTGTGGGAGAGCCATGTTTCGGCACGAATGGGTCGGCTCGACCGGAGTGATACCACGGCCTCACAGAAAACCGGCGTGAAACAACTACAGCGTTGTGTTTCGCCGTGTGAGTGAGGTTACCGGAGGCCCAATCCTTCCCCGCCCCCAATCCCTGCTCAATCCCTAAATCTCCAAATCCCTAAAAGATCGGCAACGCACTCGTAACTCCTCCGTTGCGGGTGTCCATGGGCGGCGCTGATAAATACCATCAGGTAATCCGTCTGCTCGTTTGCCGACCAATTACATAAAAAAAAACTGTTGAAAAATAATAATAATAATATACAAAACATTACGCGTCGTTGTGGTGGCCCAGGGGTTAAAGCGGCCGTGTCTCATGCATGAGGATTCGAAACTTGTCGAAATCGAAAGTTACTTCTTCCGCCCAAGGTGAGGCGAGAGAGAGTGGCAGACCCTGACTGACTGAAAACCCCCCCGTTCATTTTCCTGTTTTGGCTGAGGTTGCGGTGCCTCATAACGCTTACCCCGCAACCTCGGCTGAATAGGGCCCCGTCTGTGGTGGTCTATTACCTCTTTGAGGCGCGCGTGGAACGCTACGCGCTGTACGCTCAGGTCTAGTTCTGGTCGGGCGACGAACTAACCATACTCGCCGTCCACAGACCCGCCGAGACCATCGCTCAAAAGGCTAGATCACTAATTTAAAGTGTATAAATCTCGCAAGATTTCTTAATCTAGATATATTTTGAAGTTTAGAAGTCGTCCACAAGCTGCTGAACTCACCATTGACGCGTTCATGTGTACCGTTGACGTTCTCCAACCTCATCTGCCGGAGCCTCGCGGCCGCGTCCTCGGCAGACATATTGCTTTCCTCTGCATCTTCAAATTCATCCTCTCCTGGTACGGAAATATTTTCAATAATAATATTTGTAAAAATTTCATAAGACTGGCTTAGAAAACCTCTATGAGTTGCTTGGCGACAAAATAATGAAAAAAAAACTGTTAAGATACAATCATGTAAAACTAGCTCCAAGGGTTCCAACTAGTCAAATTTAAATATTGAAATGTCCAAAACTACATTCTTTTATGTATTTACACCACCACAACATTATGCATTATATTATAAGGCGTATCTTATTTCTAAAAAATAGGTAATAAAGATATGAAATTATGTATTTATGTGACATCAAATCAATCAATTTAAATGTATCATAAAAGTATAATAAAAAAAATATACGTTTTCATCTTGGGAACAACCCTATTGTGGCTATGAGTACCTTCAAAATCAATCAATTTAAATGTATCATAAAAGTATAATAAAAAAAATATACGTTTTCATCTTGGGAACAACCCTATTGTGGCTATGAGTACCTTCATCGAATTCCTCTCCATCCATGTAAGGATCCTCTTCATCTTCATCGATCTCGTCTGCCGGGTCAGGGTGTAACGACTGACCCTGGTTCATAGCCATGAACATCGCCTCCAAGTCATTGTCGTTTTGTGGGACAAACCTGTAATCAACATTACTTATTTAAAATGTGATAGAAAAATTTCGTCAACCCTGTAAGAGCTTGAAATAGGTCGAGTAATCAAATCGAATAGTTGCGAGACCAGCGCAATAAGTCTCTGCAGGCAGGGCAGAGCAGGAAAAGGAACAAGGGGGGAGGGGTTTAGTCAGTAAAAGTCTAACACTATTGGGTGAGAAGAGCCATCATGATTTTCCCCTCATAAAAAAAGCCCTTGGCTGTTTTTTTTAAGGTAGGGGTTCATGTCAAACTTTACTATAATTTAACAAAGGACGGAAGAAATCTTATATGGAGTACGGGCATATATATAATGGGATAGTTCTGCAAACAAGCAGACGGATTACCTGATGGTAAGCAATCAGCGCCGCACATGGACACTCGTAATAGCAAAGGAATACACAAGTGGGTTGCCGTCCTTTGTAAGTTATTAGGGATTTTAGAATAGGTTATTCGGGCTTTGGGGATTAGGGGTCGGATGTCTAAGTAAAAATAAGGAAGTGTGTCAACTGCAGGGGTGCCAACTGAAAAACCGATGTTGGGTGCTCGAATTGGCGACCCATTTGGATTGGGCATATCTGCTAACCTTTTGTTTTTTGGGTTGGAAAATCCTCATGGAGACCCACCACCCTCGGGGAAGGGCGAAGGGTACTGTCAGACTCCTAACTGACTATAAACCAACCCGGTGTTCCTCCATTAACCCATGTGTCAAAGCATTGCCAACCTTGAGTACTATTATTATTGGTCTGTTTTACTGTTTATTATTTAGATTTTTTTGTTGCCTTTATGTCTGGTGCCGAATAAAAAAAGTTTTCTTTCTTTCTTTTATTTCTTTACCTTAGTTTAGTCATGGGCTCCTCATCAGCGTCGTATTCATCGTCATCATCTACCGGGGCGTCGCCAGCGCCCTGCTGCGTCATTTCTGGTAAACTGATAAAATAATAATTTATAAAAAAATGCTGAAATATATTTTTTCTCCCTTTGTTTTTTGGTAATAATTTTATTGTGTTTGACTATCCTGTGTCCAGTCCAAGACTGCAGAAAGAGATTCCTATTGGAATATGCAGTACCTAACCTACCTATGTACCTTTGTCATTATTTTAATATTTATTTATACTTCACTATCGACCCGCCTTGCATTCGCATGGATACAATTCTAATACTAAATTTTTCTAAACTAAACATTTTTTAAAACATTGCACTAGAATTTTTCCTGTGTCGGGGGTCACATAACCCCAAACCCAGAACAACAATTTGTGGATCACAAAAAGTGTTGTTCCGTGCGGGAATCGAACCCGCGACATGTTGCACAACAGCCACTCAGATGCTAGTTACAACTGTCTCACGAAACTTATAAGTATCACAAATACTTGTTTCAGCTTTTCTAAAATTCCCAGTAAGTAATAGCCAACTGAATAAATAAATATCTTTTACTGTCCCTAATCTCCTTCCTCTGGTGTCCACAACCACGGGGGGCGGCTATTGCTTACTATCACGAGATCCATCTGCTGTTTTCTGAACAAACAATTTATAAATATAATTTTGATTAGTCAAATTGGTAACTGCTTACCTAAGTTCATGGTTGATAACGAGAATGAGTCCTGGTCCAGGATCCCTCTGTATAGCGTGTAGAGAGATATTTGGGTACATAAGGGTCACTGTTGGAGACGGACCTCCTTGTCTGCCCACTCCTCCGCCCCATACTACATTGCTGAAGAAAAAATATTGAGTCTGTTACTTGTGGGTACTTGCTTACTTTGATGAAATATCAAGTTAAGTATGGTATAGGTAGACCTAATATTTATGTGAGAGTCTTGATTTCGTCATTACATGACAAACTCTATGTATAATGTGTTTTATTTACTCAAAAAACATAGATAATGCACAATAGAGTCAAACATATGACAAGATTTAAGAGTTCCTTTATACCTGAGGATCCAAGAGGACTATCCATATAATCCAATAGCCAAGGCGGCTAAACCCTACTTATTAATTTATTATGATAAAGTAGGCTCACATCTCTTTATAGGTAGTAGGCTTTATACATTAGTCAGTTAGGTATTTGGGAGAGACTAAAAAAAATAATCATTATGTTTAGAATCTTTTATACTATCATACAGTCGAAAATATAGAAATGGCAATAACAAAATAAAATTACAGTATTGGCATTACATATCCATTCACAAACTTTTTCACAGGGCTACTGCCAGGCAATATCTCGTTGCCTGGTAGTCCACCGCTGATCTCTGAGATTCTTCTACAAAACTGATTTTACGATTACCTCCTTACTTGACCAGTTAATTGGAAAAGAATATTAAGTCTTGTAACAGTTCTATTAACTGACCCAAAACAATAAAATAAAATGACAAAAGCAATTTATCAAAATTAATGGTTAAGTGGCACTCCTAGAGAAAGGAAGTACATTATTCTAATTATTATCAATGATTAACAAAAATATTATTGGTTCAATAATAAAACTGTTAGTTTCAGTTGTAATGAACAGAATAATTGTTTTATTAATTGAATATTCTAAAAAGTGTAAACTAATAATGGAAATCAGATACTCTGACAAAGAGATGGAGTTTTGTAGGAACATTTTAAATTAGACTAAATTTCAACTATTAAGTTAATTAGGAGGGATTGCCCCATTTGACCTGCAAGTCCTCATTAATTAATTAATGATTGCCATACCTACATAAAAGGTCGAGAGTGTTATTATTATTTGGTAGTGTTTACAAATTTCAGCTGTCAGAAAATTTAACAAATATTGTTTTGTACACATTGTGTAAGTATTTTACTTTTGTTGGTTAAAAAAATAAAACTTAATTTAATTTCGTATATGGTATGGTGTATCGTATTGGAAAGTTTCATCTTCCATTGTTCGCTTTGTTATTTTTGAAGGAAAACGTGTGCGTGCGTGACCGATGCAAGAAAACGTGGGAAATCAAATGAAAATCTACGATTTTTCATGCTTGAAATTGAATTATCCATTCATATACTTACTGTTCAGTTATATACAGCGTTGCTGTACCTAAGTCCACATCGTTATTTACTATTAAATTAACCGAAGGCAATTGCATCAAAATACCTTCGGCCGGTACCGAAAAAGAAGGAGATACAACAACCATGTTGTTTAATTTATACACTAAAACACTTAAATTACACAATAAACTACGCTTTAAGTGAATTGAATGCGGTTTAAAACTATTTTAGCACATGGGCTACAGCAAATAATCTAATAGCAAAATAAATCACACGAACGAAACACGCTTCGCCAAAGAATAATAAATACGTTTTGTTTTTGCTCACTTGACAATTGCGTGACAAGTTTTGAAATGCCTTTTTTAGGCTTATATTTTCTGTTGGAATCAATTTACTGATTATTTTATTCAATAAATATCTTATAAAATGTACAAAACACTAAAATGAGCGAAATTATAATAAAAAATAATGAATAAACTAGCAACTTGTTACTAAATTAAACGTAAATCAATTAAGGGCAATGCCTTACCAAAAAAATATTCATAATCAGTTTTAAATATTTTTTGTTATAAAATAATTATTCTTAGTTCAAAATCATTTCTAAGGCATTAGATAATAAATAAATATACAAAACTAAAAAAACTCTAAACCTTAAATATAGTGAAATAAACTTTCTTTGTTTTTTTACGGATTTCAAAATATTATTGGTAGTTTATTCAAAAGAAACATGGTAACCAAAGCTAGTAATTGTCAAAATGCTACCATGTCAATAAAATCCTTTCAAAATATGACAGAAGTTGTTGAAGTGATCGATAGCAAAATTACAAAAAACAGTTAATTTTATAGCCTTCGTCATATTCTAGACTAAGATAACTCTAAAAATGGAATTTGGAGATCAAAACTTTATTAATGTATCTCAAATTAAAAGCGATGAACACAATGAAAGAGCAAATTTTAACTCAGAAACGGACGATGTAAGTTGCACAAAATATTTTCTTTAATACCCTTGCAAACATATTATTTACATTTATTTAATATGTTTTTAGTCTACCGCCTTCCAAATTCACACAAATAGATAAAGTTTAAAATTGCGATTTGTTGTAAACTTTATAAATTCTTATTTTGGTCAGCCTTTATTAGTTATTTAATTACAGTTCAATATTGGAATTGTTTTAGCCTTTACAAGAGCTTGATGTAGACCTAAACCCGCCGAGATACTACAAATTGGATGATATCGTGTTTGCCGAGCCCTTGCCAAACATTTCTAACGACGAAAAAGCTTTAAAGGGTAAATTTAAGTTTTAAGAAAATACTTTTTATATTATTTTTGGACAAAATAGCTATTTTCTAATAGTTATTTTATAAAAAGTTCACCCTTAATTTACAGTGCAGTGTTTCACCTAACTTTAATATTAATAAGAAACTATTGAATTGTATATGATTATCATATTATATACATTAGGCACACAAGTAGATATATCTTTGAGTTTTAGACGTTTATAACCATTACATTAATTATTAAGAAATAGGTACTTAACTATCTCAATTCTGACAGTTTGTAGTTAACAAATAAAATTTTGTTTTCAGACACAGAACAACACAATCATATCACTGTTGTGGACAATGTCATAATAAAGAAGGACCCTGGAAAGAAATACAAAAAGTATGTCATGGACATAGATGCTTCACAATTACAATGTCCACAGGTATTTTATTTTATATCACTACATAGTATTAATCATAGTCGCTTGCTCTGTCCCTAAGTCCCTATGTATGCTCAAATCTTTAAAACTATGCAACAAATTTTGATGTGGTTTTTTTTAATAGATGTAGTGATTGAAGAGGATGATTAATACATATTGATACATCGATTACATAGTGGAGATATTAATGAGTATTCCAATCCAATGAGTAGTATTATTATAGGCCCGAAACAACAATTTGTGGATCACACAAAGGCTGGTTCGTGCGAGAATCGAACCCGCGACACCTCGCACGGTAGCCAGTTGCCCAATTATACATTTAAAAATAAAATAAAATTATATATTTTTTTTAACATAAATGATTTTATTTATTAACTAAAATTGCGGGTTACTCACGTGTAAATTTTGAGAAAAGCTCTACTAGTTTCGAACCACAGAGGGGTTCTTCCTCATGAGCAGCGTGCGCGGACGCGTCGACGTCGCGCAGCCTACTGACATGACAACATTTACACGTGAGTAACCCGCGAATTTTAGTTAATTTAGTATGTCTCACGATAGTTATTATAAAAAGATTTTATTTATTTTCAATCTAAGTAGGAATAATATAAGTACTCATGCAATATACTTCCATTGTTTAACTGATAGACAAAATCTTCCATCACAACAACAACAAGCTACTGTCCCGCGGTTTCCCCGCTGCTTGGCACCTACATGTTATGATGTTTTATAGCCTATAGCCTTCTTCAATAAATGGACTAACAAGTACTAAAAGTTTTGTTAAATTCGAACCAGTAGTTCTGGAAATAAGCATGTTTAAACAAACTCTACAGCCTAATAATAATAGTATAAAATAAAGAAATAAAATAAAAAAAAGCCTTATATTTCCCAGTTTAAAAACAAAAAATATTACATTTACAACAAATTTTACATCAATTTTATTGGGGAACCCCTAAGGTGAGGGCCTCCTCCAGAGACTGCCATTTTTCTCGATCTTTTGCTGTATCTATCGCTGGCTAGATACATAAAATTAGTATAGATATTTAATTTTGTTTCAGTCGAACTGTATGCGGTTCTTCACCACCACAAAGCTCTTGAAAGCCCACATACGTAAAGTTCACTGTGCAGATAAACAGAAGTACATCTGTGACCAGTGTGGCCGAGGATTTTCAGCCCAGTACTTGCTGCAGAGGCATGTGTTAGTGCACAGCGGTGATTCGGTGGAGTGTCCTGTGTGTGGAGCGAAGCTTAAACAGAGAACTGGGTTAGTATCATTTCACTTCACAATCATGAAACAATGAATTTATTATGGCAAGTAGGTGTGTAGAGGTGTGTGAGAGTTATGCTTCGACACAAATGGCTCGGCTTGACAGGAGTGATACCACTGCCTTACAGAAAACCGGCGTGAACAACCACAGCGTTGTGTTTTGTCGTGTGAGTGAGGTTACCAATCCTTCCCCTCCCCCAATTCCCAAAAGGTCGGTAACTCGTTCGCTTGTCCATGGGCGGCGCTGATTGCGCATGAGAATGCCTGTGGCATTAAGTCCACCTAATACCTACATAAATAACTTAAAGATTGCACGGTTGGCGCGGTGGCTGGGCAACTGGCTGCCGCGCAACGTGTTACGGGTTCGATTCCCGCACGGAACAACTCTTTTTGTGATCTACAGATTGTTTTTCCGGGTCTGGGTGTGATGTGCATGTAAAATTGTATGTTTGTAAACGCACCCACGACACAGGAGAAAATCCTAGTGTGGGGACAACTTTTTTTTTTAAATAAAAAATGTTTGGAATACCTTAATTTTTTTTTATCATTCATTCAAAACGACGAAGTCCAGGTAACTTATCTTAATTAGTTTGGTATACAATAATAAAATTCTTACATATGTAATGGGCTGGCATTTGGCCCCGATGATGCGACCTACGATAGAGCACGCCTACCCATAAGTAATATATTCATTCGGGCCTTGAAGACTATAATCCTTCGGAGAACGTAGACTCCGGCAAAGTATTCCACGGAAACGCTAGTTGTGGTAGTGAAATTTTCCGCTTCGTGATTGTGGTTGGAATATTCACAACTTGCATAACAAATTATATTTGCTAATTTACTTATTAATTTTATTGTCCCCAGTCTTACAAACCACCTTCGTTCTCACCAGAACATCCGTGCACACGAATGTGGAGTATGCAAGAAGAAGTTTACCAGGGCACCGACATGTGCAACTCATGTCAAGTTTGTGCACAAAAAAGAAACTCTAGCATGTGATCGGTGTGAACAACGGTAAGGATTTTCAACTTTATAAGCTACGTCAGTAAAGTAGAGGTTCCTTTGAAGCGACTTGTGCAACTCATTGCAAGTTTGTGCATGAAATAGAAACGCTAGCATGTGATCAACGTGAACAATGGTAAGGTTTTTCAACTTTATAAGCTAGTTCATTAAAGTAGAAGTTCCTTTGTGCACAAATAAGAAACTCTGGCATGTGATCGGTGTGAAGAACGGTAAGGATTTTTAACTTTATTAGCTACTTTAATAAAGTACAGGTTCCTTTGAAGCGACTTGTGCAACTCATTGCAAGTTTGTGCACGAAATAGAAACGCTAGCATGTGATCAACGTGAATAACGGTAAGGATTTTCAACTTTATAAGCTACTTCAATAAAGTCGGCATTCGTTTATATCGACTTGTGCACCTGATTTGAAGTTTGTGCACAAAAAATAAACTCTAGCATGTGATCGGTGTGAACAATGGTAAAGTTTTTCAACTTTATAAGCTACTTTAATAAAGAAGAGGTTCCTATGAAGCGACTTGTGCAACTCATTTACAAGTTACTAGTTAATAAATAAATGTTGTGTGTTTACGTTGAGTACGGTAGACACATGTGATTATATTGTATTAATATACCGCATGATGATATTGTGTCCTGTTGGTCCTAGATTTTCATCTCGCAATCAATGGAGTCTGCACATGAAATCCCACCGGAATGAAAATCCTGGTTGATGCATCTCAAACTGACACTCCAAAGGTTAGTCCTCAATGCCTACCTGCACTTTAATAATTATTATTATAACGCAAAAAAACGCGTTGAATATGAGGTTACTGGAGGCGCAATCCTTCCGAAACCCTAATCCCAAAAAGTCAGCAACGCATTCGTAACTTCTCTGGTTTTGCGGATGTCCGTAGGCCGCGCCGATTGCTTACCATCAGGGACCGTGTGCTTGTTTGAAGTCATAATTATGTTATAAAAACAATTTTTGTTTACGGTAGTTACGTTCAATAGGCGCCTAGCTTTTTAGAAAATTAGACTTGGTTGTGTGGGATTTTTACCTTATAAAATCTCCCTGTTGGCCACCACCAGCACTTGTAAAAGACAATTGGTCCTCTCAGAGGACCAAGTCTGGAGTCCCTTCTTTGCAACGCCTGTTACGCCACATCCTATCCCGACCATCATTATAAACGCTTAACTATGGCGGTATCGCCAAATCAAATCAAATTCTTTATTTTAAATAGACAAAAAAGGCACTTTTGAACGTCAAGCAAAAAAGATATCATAAGCTTTAACTTTATATGTGTCAGTCTGTCCGTCTGTCCTCTAGTGAAGCTATTTGCTCGTTCCAAAGTGTAGATTCCTATGGAGAAGAACGAGCAAGAAACTCCATGGTTACTCTTTTTCAATCACTTTTTACAATGCATTGTTATATAATTCGCCCGCGAACAGACCATCCTTCTAATATTATAAATAAAAAAGTTGTATGTGTTCGTATGTTTGTTATTATTCTTTCGTGCAAAAACGGCTGGACGGATTTGGTTGAAATTTGGTTTGTAAATAGGTTATGCTCGGATAAACACATAGGCTTTTTTCAACATACCACGCGGCGAACCCGCTGGCAGAAGCTAGCAATTTAAACACAAACTACATAAAATTAGTTTTTGGATTTATTGCGTTCATACAAACAGACAGAGAAATTAAAAACAAGATTAATTATTTGATGAGGGGCCTAACTGATTCAAGGGTGCTCGATTAGTTTCAAGCCACTTATGACCTCCTACAATGGCTTGAAACTAGTCGAGACACAACGAGGGATTTCGTTCAGTTTAAGAATTATTTTGAAAGTAGATTTAATGCTGTTACGTTATTGATTCTGACTGTGATCAGAGAAAGTGTGCAGTTGATCTTTAAAAAGACATGTTGCTAGAATTGGCATTGATAATTGATGAAAATTAACTAATAAGTATTTTTATCGAAGTGAAAAATCGTAATTTTTTTCCGTTGTGTAGTTTTAAAGATTTAAGCGTACATGTAGAGACAGAATGCGACTTTTGTTTTATACAATGTAGTGATAACGTATAAACAATGTATGAAAGTAAGCATAAGTATTATTTTATTTCATTCAAGTCAAAATAGGACGTTTTTGACAGGTAAATTCAATAAATTGTCAGGCGTTACTTGGGGGAATGAGTCGATTTTAGTTGACGAGGTGGTTATAGTGCGGTAACAAATTATTGAAACGCGGCGCTTTTATTTTGTCAGTACTTATAGATTTCGGACTGTATTTAAAAGGTTCGACACTAGAATTTTCACCTGTGTCGTGACTGCATATTATACGAACGTTGAAAATCACAGACACCTAGAAACACTAGTTGTAGAGCATTCTCCTTTTGCAGGGTGTAGCTCTTACCCAGGATGAGGCGAGAGAGAATGTCAGTCTCTTCAGTAAGAGACTGACAATTTGAGCATGATAAGAAACGGAGGGTTTTTAGCCAGTATCTACTAAAGGCCCCCGTTCCTTCACCTGCGCTGGGCCGAGGCCGCGATGCTTTATTGCGGTTGCCCCGCAATCCCGTTTGAACAGCGGGCCTAACAGAGCCCCGTTTTAGGTGGTCTTTTGGCTCTTTGTGTGTGTGTGTGTTGCCGACTGCGGTGGCTGAGCCCGTGAAGACGGTGGTTCACTCATGCGCTCCGCCTTCTCCTTTGCGAGCATCACTGTTTCGCAGAGAGAGGAGACAGTTAAAGTTAGTAAAAAATAAGAATGCTGTTTGTTTTTTTGTAAAACCTATTTAAAAAAACTATACTTTTTGACATTACCATAAATTTATTGAATTTGACTAGTTGGAAACCACCCAATTCTGCACAAATCACCACGAGAGTGTATATTCAAGTATACCTACCTACATAATGTCGAAAGCAGGTACTGAAAATTGGCCAGTAAGGAATACTGGTCCTTTGATCACCCTTTTTGACCATATTCGAAGCTGTAATGGAACAAAGCATATCTTTATTTTTGCACGCTACTGCAAACAAAAAAAAAAACAGGTTATGGATAAAATAGACCTTCATTGTTTTCAATTTTCGGTAAAGGATTAAAATTGTGTCGTGGTGGCCCGAAGGTTAAGGAGCCCGCTTCTCATGCATGAGGGTGTGGGTTCGAAACCTGGCAAGTACCGATGTGCCTTTTTCCGAGTTTTATGTACTTTCTATGATTATTTAGACACCACTGACATACGGTGAAGGTAAACATCGTGAGGAAACCTGGACTTATAATTTCTAATTACAAGTTTGAAATCGCCAACCCGCATTGAGCAAGCGTGGTGATCAATGCTCTAACCTTCTCCGTATGAGAAGAGGCCTATGCTCAGCAGTGGGCACTTATAGGCTGATGATGATGATGATTAAAATTTTAAACCTGAGAAGATGCCCTTCGTCTTTGCTTTTTAGAAATTAGCCGACAAAGCCTTTTGTTTTGCCCTGTGACTGTGAGTGAGGTTACCGGAGGAACTTTCCCCCACCCCATCCCTCCCAATCCTTAATCAGAATTAATCCGAAACCTAAATCCCAAAATACAGGCACCGCACTCGATACTCCTTTGGTGTTTCGGGGTGTCCATGGACTGTTACGATTGCTTACCATTGGGTAATCAAAAACACGACAAAAATATTTAAGATATATAATTACGCGGGTATTAACGCGGAAAATAATTATTTAAATACTTTGGTAGGCTTGACGTTTCGACCTGGTTGCTCAGGTCGTGGTCACAAGCAGATTGAAGATCACAGTCACAGCTCCCTGCATTCGGGCGATGAATCTTCATCTACCCCCTTATTTTCACCATTGCAACCAGGTCGAAACGTCAAGCTTACCAAGGTATTTAAATAATTATTTACCGCGTTAATACCCGCGTACCTAATTATATGTCTAAAATATGAAACGCGAAAGTTTAAAAGTTAGAACGACAAATACATATATTATGTATGTCCGTCTGGATTTGATTAAGTATTAGAAAGAGACAATCTTACAATAATATTATTAGCCTTAATATGGGTTTTGGCTTTTGTTTTAATATTATTAGGGACTAGCTTTTGCCTGCGACTCCGTTCGCGTGGAATAGTGTCTTCTTGCAGATTTTTGAGTATAAAATCCATCCTATGTCCTTTCTCGAGTTCTAAACTATGTCTGTACCAAATTTAACAGAAATCGGTTTAGTAGTTTAGGCGTGAAGAAAAGACAGACAGACAGAGTTACTTTTGCCGATCTAGATTTGGTCAAACAAGTCAGGGGATTATTTGATAGGTATTTAACAATCTGTACCTTAGATAGACACGGGGATGGATTTAGGGTAAGGGTAGGGGCACTATAGGTATAAGTCTATGTAACCCTGCCTACATTATATGGCAAAGCACAACGCAACAACGCCGCTGTTGTAATCCGGAATCCCATGCAAATCATAGTTTACGATATATCGAATACTAGCTAGTCCCGCGCGGTTTTACTCGCTGGTCGGCTCCATTTGATTGTAGGGATGTTTTATAGCCTATCGCACTCAGGAACATTGTAGCTATCTATCGGTGAAAGAATTTTGGGAATCCCACCAGCGGGTCCAAAGATTACACCCTACATACAAACTTAAAAATTTTACCTCTTTATAATATCAGTATAGATTTGAGAAATTTCATTCTAGAATATTCTCTCCAGTTTCTAATTGTTTAGATTAATTTAGACAATTAAAATGCCAACAACTAACATGCTGGTTAAAATGAGTAGCAGCGGATTATATGCAATTGCATATTAACATTTACAAATGCATGGAATTGTGATTTTGGCAGCTATGAATATTTTCTTTATTTTTGACGATACTACCAATAATAGTAAAAATATGCTTCGGATAGGAAACCTGCTGAAAATGTTATGTGAATTGTACTCAATTAATGGCAAAATCGACTTTTGTGACACAAATTAGACCATAATTATAAGAAAGCCCAATTTGGCATTTCCTATCAACATATTTCTTCAGAATAGTTGTCAAAAAGTTTCACTTTTGCGATTAATATTTTTTAATCTTTTATGGCGTATATTTTGACAAGAATCCGGACTCTAGTAATGAGTATTTTGATATTAAACAAACTTAATGGGTCTGGGCGGTGGGGATCGTGGCGAGGAAGGAAAAGAAAAAGCATAACCAGAACCCGACCCGAGCGTACGGCGCGTTGCGGTCCGCGCGCGCCTCGAAACGCCAAAAGACCAAAAACAGACGAGGCCCTATGAGGCTGATCCTCATCCGGGGTTACGGGGTCACCGCATTGAGGCAGCGTGGCCTCGGCCTAGAGCAGAAAAACGGGTGGGTTTTTAGTCAGTTAAAGTTTGACTCTCCCTATCGTCTAACCAAGGACGGGAAAAGTCATTTGATGTTGATCCCCTGACAAAAAAAAAACGCTGACTAAAACTTAACTCATTTCCTCACTACTCCGAGTCGGACCACGGTGTATTATAGCGCTTGCACTCGCAACTCCAGCTGACCTACAGCTAGACCATCAAAGTGAGAATAGCACACACTAGCTACTCTTGAAAATCCGACCAGCGGTTCCAAAGATTACCCCCTACATACAAACTTACAAATTTTACCTCTTTATAATATTGGTACAGATATTGATTACCAACTATGACGAAAAAAACAACGTGGTATTTTTCTTATCTACATTTAACCGTCTCACTGGTCGACAAAGGATACAGGGTAGGAAGGGAATGAAATGAGTCATAAACACCACTTTAGCTAAAACCTGTTTGGTGATTTCAATTTCGCTTTTGTATACCTACTATCGTGAGACCGATGATGTATAAAACTATAGATACGATGTCCACACTCTCAAATGACAACATAAAATGTGGCTAATTAGCTACATCGCGCTCAGCATAGAGTGAAATACACTAACTTGTAACAATACATATTTGAAGGCACCGGGGGGTTGGTACAAACATCAACATCCCAATTATCGTCTTCACAGTCCATTGCAGGGCTTTTATAATCAGACCGAATTAATTACAAAATAACGGAGGTCGGCGATCCGTCTCAGATGACAGTCACAGCGCCTGCTCTCCACCATAATGCGCACGCAGAACTGCCAGTTTGACGGTCCGCCAGAGTACGATTTATGGTACCCTCGTCCGATGAATTGTGATTAAACCTCCTTCAAAATTCAATTTAAATAATCGTCGCTTCGACATATTTATCTCTCTCTAGCTACAGGCATCCCACCGTACACTGACATATTTTCTGTTTCTTTCATTACGCACATAAGAAGTTCTAGTGTTGTCGCCGTTTTATGCGCCGAAATGCTGGTAGACAACATGTCTGTACATATAATAATACGTCATTGTGTGAGACAGACTAAATTTATTGAATACAATAAACCATCTAAAAACTAATTGATACTCAATCATTTCCTTAACTTTTTCTTCCAAATATTATCAAAAATACGGGTTGAAAAAAAAATACAGATAAGAACAGCTATACCTATACTTTTCATGGAAATCTATTGAAAATAACGACTTACCCACGTAAATTAAATGCGAAATGCTCTACTAGTTTCAAATTACAGCGGGATTCTTATTTTGTGTACAGCCCGCGCCAAACTTTGTGACCGCCCTGAATATAGTCGCGAGTCCGAACTTGCGCATGGTACAGTCGAGTGGGCAATACGTAATCAACCAATTTTCGTTTTCTAACATTTGTGTGGTTCCAGTGGTTGATTACGTATATATACATATACTAATATTGGTTGATTACGTATTGCCCACTCGCTCGACTGTACCATGCACAAGTTCGGACTCGCGACTAACCCCGGCTGAACATCAGCCCTATAGGGCCCCGTCTGTGATGGCCCGATGGCTACAGTTCGAAAACTGACAAATACCAATGTAACATTGTCTAAATTATAATTTTGGACTCTCTTAGTGCATTTACGCCCGGTTCCTATAATTGAGAAACGATCCGTTTTAATTACGAATAGTAGTTTTATTATATACGACTCGTAAGCTAAAACCGTTCCTATAATAAACGTCTCGTCGTGGAACTTACTGACGGTTTGCAACTAACAGATATCGGTAAGCGAATTGTATAGAGATCTATGGTCTATGGTGCCTGTGGTTTTCCTATAAATATTTTAACCGTCAGTAGACGGTCAAGATAACTATTCGTAATGTTATTTGGTCGTATTGCGTATACAACGACGATTCGTTAAATATAGGAACCGGGCATTAGACACTACTGACATTATAGCGAAGGAAAACATTGTGAGGAAACTTGGATTTATAATTTCTAATTATATGTCGCGTCAAAATGTTTGTATAAGACAGTGACAGCAGCAATTTTATTCCTCAAATAACATTTATCTGACTATTGAAAAATCAGCCCTAAATGTACAGTTTTAAGTTTCTTATTTCCTAATATAATTAGTATTATTAGGTACACATAACTTCAACTAACTCCTGACAACAAAAAACTTATTAAATAATACAAGTGACGCATTCAGGTATTATGAACTTTGTCCTTAAATTAGATTGTCGTTACTTTAATTAGAGTAAAGTGAGCTAATTAATTGTTTCTTTTCTAATTGCGTTCCCCAATAACCACCTAAATTGTTTTCATAGTGATTATGAATGACTAATTACTCAAAAATTCGGCGTTTTCGTAAACTGTCTCTTTTTATTATCGGCGTGTGGCTTTCTATTGTTAGGTAGGTATCCGTTTAGTGATCGGAATGTATGCAATGGGGTAATTTCCTAGGTCAAAAATAAATTATTTCGACGTTTCAATACAATAAAAAGGGCCTGCTGGAAGAGATTTCTGAAGAAATAAGCTGTGCCTTTGTACCTAATTGTTGTATTATTTTTCTTGTCCAACTTACTGTATGTACAAAAATTATTAAATAAATAAATAAAATATTGAAAAATAACTATACTTTATTCATCGATCGCTCGATACTTTAACTAAGTTTTAGATATTTTTTAGCTAATTATTAAGAAATAATAAACCATTTGACGCAAAAATACTATGACGTCATAACTGAGTGTTTCATAGAAAAGTAGGTATAGTTTTTGACATTTGGATAAAAGTATTAAATTTGACTAGTTGGTAACTACAGTATTGTATGTAGGAAGAATGTGTTATTGGTGTAAGAGTTTTGTCTAAATCTAGAAAATAAGTGGCTCGACAAGTATATGCAACATATTCCTGATATTAATTCAAACTACTTAAGTAAATATGGCAGAAATATCACGAAACATAGTCTGTCTACGTCAGAACTTCAAGTGAATAATGAAAGATTATAATAAAAAAAACTGTACGCGCGATACCTACCTACTAAAGATACACACCGCCGCTAAAACTTACGTAACGAGGCTGACTTCTAACTCAATTGTAAACCCGAACGTTGTATCATATCTACATATTTACCAACTTAGATACCCAGCCGTGATATTTAATTTATTGCACTCATAATTGTGCACCGAATATACTGCGTATAAAGTCCATGGTTCCGCTTGATGTAACGTACAAAACAGTAAGGATACTTTGCATGCATCTTATTTATTTATTAGCGTGAGGAAGGCGATATCGCAAGCGGCCTCAGCGCTCCGCTCACACCTATTTTGTTTCCCCGCCGTCGGGCGGCCATGTTGCCCGATGCGCCGCGCTGCCGTCCGCACAAACCCGCCAGTTTCACGCGGGCATCATCGAGAGGCGCATTACCGCGCACGTACACATAGCGCCCGCACGAAAGACCCGCACGCGAGACAAACTATCGTTCCGCCGCGTATTATTTTTATATTGTTTTTAAAATGGTTCGGACCAAGGATGGGGACGGGATCAAAAGTAGTCTCATTATAACTGAAGTGAAGAAGAGACCGTGCTTATTTGACACCAATGATCCCAACTACGGAGACAGGGCAGAGAAGGCGAGAAGCTGGGAAGAAGTGTGCAGTTGTGTCGTACCCGGCTGGGCTGCGCTCGGGCCGCCTGAGAAGTTTGCGGCCGGTATGTTGAATGACGTTTTTATAAACCGTCCGATTCGCGGATGTGAGCGCGCGGTCGGCGCGCGAGCCGCACTCATGATCACGGAAACCGGTCGCCTTGTAATTGTCGCGTTCAAGTTGCGTGCTCTTTGTTCGAACGTTCGGATGCTTTCGAAACGTACCTAGCTCGGAATAACGTTCCAATTTATAACACGTGGTACCATATCACTCGATAATTATATTGTTATATTAACAATGCGAATTTGTTCGGATGCGGATATTTTTGCTCTACTGTTTTTAAAACTTAGGCGTACTAGATTTTTGGAATGATCTTGAACGTTTTAGCCTTCACCAGTTAGTATTGCTCTAGTACTTACAAAAACGTACGTACGCCTAGAATATAATATCCGATGCGTCATTTCAGATAATGCCTCCACATGAAGTTGCCATGCCTTTAAGTTTGATAAAACGATTGAACAATTTTATCACATCGACAGTTTCGTAATGCGTACAATTTATTTTAAAAAGTAACATCCGCAATGTTGAATTATTTCGTTGACGATGATACATCTTGTATTAAAAATAGTAATCTGCATGATAGATAACGATAGGTACATAGATAAATATTAAATGAAACACGACTTTAAAGCATTACAACTAAGTTTGAAATTCCCGCTTACTAAGAGGTAGGTTTTATTTCGCCCCCATTAGAAGTAAAACTATTCGTTAACAATTCCAATTTCAAAATATTCAAATATAAGTTTAGAACAACACCGTTTGCATTGCGCGCTAACCAAAATATTTCAGAAAAATGGCGTCATCTACGTAAACGTGATTTTCATCGCATACTGTTTTGACTGATGATTTTTATTCAAAAATTCTATACCTAATAACTTCAATATGTATCATTTCTGGTTACTTTTATTATTGACTTTAAAAAAGTAAATAATGTAACCTATTTATAATTTTATACTCTGATCAGTGATCATAGATAAATAAAAATAGAAGATTTGTTTTTATAAATTTATAATAATATCCAGGATGTTTTTTTTTTGCATTTAGTCAATAAAGAATTTCGTAGTTTCATGTCTATTTTGCATTGAATAAATTGAAAATATTTAACATTGTGGTAATTAGCTAAAACCATTTAAATAGTGCGCGTACAAGGTCGACTTAAAGAAAAAAAATCGTCTATTTTTGTTTGGCCGTTGCTACCAGATAGCCGTCTGTTAGGATTGGATGTCACGGTTACATCAATTGTGTATAACAATTGAGATCTCTCTTACAATAAAAACATATTTAAGTACACTAAAAATAATAAAAAAAAAACAACTTTTTATTTTTATTGAACGAGTTAAGTTTGAGTCTTCTAATCAATTTGGAAAACCGTTTGGTATAAGTGTTTTTTTTTACTGCAGCTACCCTATAAATAGATATGTTAAAATTATTAACGTTTTATTCAGTTTTATTAAACTTATTTAATGTAACGATATTTGAAGCTCTTTGAATACGTACGTCGACAAACGCAATGCACCAGTTCTGTGGTACTGCTTGGAACAGTCGTAAGAATTACGTCGACAAAATATTTTGTAGTTTTCTAAGGAACATTTTGAAAACAAAATAATATTGTTGTTCTTTTTTTAGTTGTTTATTTGATTTTAGTTTAAACCTTCAATCGTTAGTACCTATATTCCCAGTTCATACCAGTTAAAGTACTTACACGTGTCAGATATTATTATGTAATTATTATTTACGTAATTAATACATCATTTTAGTTGCTTAATATATTAATTTCATGTTTAAAATATTTGTAAATGATATTTGAAATTAATTCGAAAAGGTATTGGTTAAAATTATTTTAAGTCGTCCACGTGTTCTTTTAATACCTTATGTAATTTACATAGACACTTGAGAAATATACCTACATACATACGTGTACTGTATTATATTTTTTGTACTTAACAAAAAATATATATTTTCGCGTCGTTGCGCACATTTTACTTCACGCAGACCTGTATTGCGTGAGACGGTCATCATCTTACCATTACCGAGCACTTATGTCACGTGTTTGTTATTCTATTGACAAACGCAATACCTCTTTTATTTATCCATATTTTATTATAAAGAAAGGAAAAAAACATTAAATTAATTTTGTTTTTTTTATTGTTGCGTTAAATTGGAACAGGATGTATATGAATGTACGTGGCCTCAGAAATATAAAATACCCAAAAAAAAACTTTAAAAAAAGTTGGAAATTTACATTATGATATCGATGTATTTTTATATTTTTTCTTTAATATTCTATCTACATACATAATATATCGCGTGTTTTATTTATTTTTTTCATTATTCCACGTCACCATTATAATAACTTCATTTTATCCATACTTATTATAAAAAAATATAAACTTCTAAATCTTATTAATAAAATATTTACGAATACCGCACCTGTTGCGTAACTTTCATTTTCTATCTTTGTAAATATCTTGAAATCAAGGCTTTATAGCTTTAAAAAAAACATTAGTAAAATTAATTATTTCCTGTATAAAAATACATAATGTGTGGATGTTAATTATCAACTGTTTCAATTGAGTAAAAGAATTTAATTTTGATTACAAATTAGAAAAAAAAAATAGAGAAAATTTGTCTGCGTTTGCAGACACGTTTTATCCTCACCTACAAAACAAAAACATGTTTTTTCCCTAAATAACTATTTCTTTCGGGGGAAAACAAAATGTTATTTTATTAATTTACGGCTTGATATTTTATAATCATTATTCTAACAATTTATCTGAATTTATAACCCAATTCAATTATACGTCGTAATTTTTTGTTTCATAAAAATGTTTTTGTAATATCCGCCATTTTCTCGTGAATGGACGAAACGTACTTGGCGTGTGCGTTCATTTGTTTGTGCAGTAACAGTCACCGACGTTGTTCTCTCTACCGACCTGATACATTTTGTATACCTACTCATTAGCCTCAATAATAAAACGCGTGCATTATTCGCAGACACAATTAAATCAGTCTTACAAATGACTATAGTTACCTACCTTTTAATATACTGATACCATATTACAATGCTAAGCGTCCACAATTAATTTATTGACATAAACACAACATGTTTATCAAGTTTAAAACTCCTATTTACCCACATGCCACGTTGTGTTCTAAATTTAAAATCAATTGTCTTTTGTACTTACATTCAAAATTCCATAGATAACGAATTTCGTCGTAATAAAAACTATTTTCATACGTATTGGAGCTAAAAAAATAAACTCGAATCTTATGTCGCACGAAGAGAACGAAGACGTGTCAACTCAGCTACACTATTACCCGACCTTTGTCTAAATGGACATATTATTGTATTTAAAGTACATTACGTGTTTTTAACTGGCAGTTCAGTAAAAACTTGTGACTATAAAGCAATGTACATCGTGACAATGTACATGGCACGAACGAAATTATCGTAAAATAATGCAGTGGTAAGGTCTGCGGTGTTCGTGACTCAATCGACGCAAGGGGCCGGCCCGCACCCGTTTATTCATAACCAGCCGGTAACACTCTGCAAATGCGGATAGCGCTGATAACGTCCATTGCTGTACAAACAAAACGTTCATTAGATACTCGTAAGGCAAGCCGTCGATGTAAACGAAATATATGGAAATGTCGCGCACGACCGTTGTAGGAGAATAGCTATGCTTATCGACACCAACTCTCGACCGTCTTGTTTTTAAATGGCGTTCGAATTGTTTAAATGAGTATTCGATTTTTTATAAATATGACTATTTTTTTAAATAATAATACAAAACTTTCGTTGTGTCTTCAATTTTTTTGTTGTTATTTTTCAAATTTCGAATATGTTACGTTCGCTCGTTCAAATGTTATAACGTGATTACTCCGATTACTTACGCGTAAGCGTATGACATTGAAACAAGATGGCCGACTTATATAGTAGGTACGCGTAACGTTCTTATTATTTACGTACTTTAGCACTTGCTGCAAAACCGGTCGTTTGTTTTGGATTAATGTTTTTGTAACATTAAAACTATTTTATGCTTAAGAAAATATTGTGTTGATGTATCTTATAAAATAAAATGTAAAGGGATGTTGGTAAAAAGCGGTTTTTAATCTGTACGTAAATTGAAAAAGGATTATTTATCTGTAGGTTTAATCACAGTCTAAAATTCCATTTTGAACGAAAACATGTATTTATGAGGAAATGTCTGTTATGAGAAGTAAAAAAGAAAATAGCATAGATTATCAATCAATTTAAATACCTTTTTGTTCTTCTGGAGTTATATTTAAATTTTATTTATAGCGATTTATCATTATTTTACGGAACAGTATGTATGTGTTTTATTAAAACTTATGAGTTTGAAATCGACTTTCCGCCATAGCCACGTGCATGGATTGGATTCCTTCTTTGACCCTACAGCCTGCAGTGGTTCTGATGATTTTGTGGTGTTTATATTAATTTAAAGTATAGGTTTGCAAAATTATCTATGGAGTTAATTTTTGTTTTTGGTACTTAAACAAAGTCTTTAGTATCAGAAAAGTGTGAATAATAATAGATTTAAATATGGTCTGCAACTATGGTCTAATAAAAATTTTGATTAAATAATTTATAGATAATTCTGCAAGGACTAAATATTTTTTGAAAGTTTGTCCTTTGTTTCCTTTATTATCACTTGCGGATTTGATCTTGGCGTTTCTATAGACATACGAAGTTTATTATTTAATCCGATTAGTCAAAAAATATTATGTGAAAGTATCTATATGGATAATTTTCTGAATGTAGTCGATCATAAGCTCAAGAGTATTTAACAGAAATTTACAACATATTTCCCCTAAAACAAAGGAATGATGAAAGTACCTAATTATTTTTAAAATTTACTCATTTTTTTTTACTTTATAACAATGAATGATAGAGTCAAATATTAAGTATTCAAAACTTTTTTAACTAACCTTTTTAATTAACTTTCATAGTACCTACGACTTAGTTCCTTGTTCCAATGATTC